TTTCTTTTGAGGGTTGGAAAACTCGGCCTACATATATGAGTTACTGTTGTATGTTGAAGTGTGGTGTTCTGGCAATAACAACCAAAACTGCTTACACTGTTTTCATAATCACAATCCTATAAATGAGCTTGGATGAGGATGACCCATATCCTAAGTAGCTTAAACTTCATAGAAGACACTGAAGTGGTCTGTACATTTTCCAGCTAATAGTGAGTTATGCAAATACACTTGCATTGCATGTAAGCATTTTAGTTTAAAATTAATGAAGCTTTGGACGGGCTTTCTGATTTAAGGTTGCTTTACTGCATTCTTGCTTTCTGCTTAGAATAATCTTCCCCAACCCTGACACAGCAAGCTTAAAGATATATACCCAGCTGTATATACCATGTTCATTACCCATAGCCCTTGTCTTATGGTATGATAGAGACATACCAAAGTTGTTTTGAACATAAAAGCAGTTGTGAATATTTCAGATCTTGAGGTGAATTACAGTCGTTACTGTGAGCTGTCAAAGGAGATGTGTTCTGGGTTTTCTAAGAAGAAATCTTTTCAGCTTTCCATGAAACCTGTCTATATTAAATTATTGCGACATTTCAAACTGAAAGGGTCTGTGGGTTATTTAATCTGTCAGTTTATAATTTTGTCCTTTTTATTTTTAATGGTTAGCAGTTGTAAGCCTTCTAAAAGGGAGAGTTGTGCTCTCCCTTGAGCTCATCACTAGGAGGTTTATGTAACTTCTGTTGGTAGATTAGATATCTTGATATTTAGCTGTGCTTAGAAACCAGGCATACCTCAGGAATAACAGTAGGACGAAATGATTCAAGACTTTGAAGGTGGAGATCTTGGCACTTCATAGCGCCATGAAAATCTCAAACTTGTGCGAGTGGGACAGTGTTTTGTTATAATCCTGAGCTCTGTAATAGAATGGGCAAATAGGAGGAGAACTACTCTGAGGGTTGCATGAGTTTATTAAAAAAGAATATTGAATACTTCTTGAGCTGAGCATGTCTTTTGATTGTGTTAGTGTTATTGCCAAAGCAGTGTCCTTGTTCTTGAGCAAGCCAGCTTGCTCATATTAAGGAAAAGTAGTTTGTGCTTTGATAGCATTAGACTTTCTGTTAACTCTTTTAAAATATTGACATTATTTCTCTATATACAAACTCATTCTAGTTTTTGTGTTGTTCTTTTTTTTTTTCCTTTCAGAATTTACATGTTTGACAGCAGAAGTTGGCTTTCTACTGTAGCAAGAGAAGATGTAAGTAGTAAAATAAAGAAATTCTTTTCTTCTAGTGTTCAAAAGCAACTCAAGACTATTTTTAAACATGGCTGACTACAGTTTTTGGCCATTTCTTACTGCTTTAGTTTGTGTATTCTTTTGTTAACAGTGAGGATTTTAAGATAGTCAGGAAACCTGCTAAATAATAGATGCTASTGCCTGCATGCTTTCAAGAATAGAGCTGGCAAACCAGAGGGAGACTATGGATGAATTTTCATCTCAGTGGGATAGGGAACTATATTTTAAATAAGTTTAGAAGGAATATTTATTCTCTCAAGGATGGAAAAACTCCTTATGGAGCATGTTTGGGAAAAGAAGGGCAGACTTATTGTGTGCGGAGTGGCATTTCTCAATGTTCTTTTTTAATGTTTCAGTATTACTTATTCAGAACCTTCCAGTGTCAAGTTTTGTGGTGGCTTTTTTTTGGTCTTCTATTTCAAATCAGGTAATTTAGAGAACACACATTGTATTTTCTGATGAATGTGAATCAAATAGGAAGCAGTATCTTGTTTCATTAAACAAAAACTCTGAAAAAAACTCCTCAAACTCATCAAATGTGATGTCCAAACGCTGGGATTAGCAGTGGTTTGCGTATAATTACTTTGTCATTGAAAATGTACACGCTGCTGTTAATAGGTATTATGGTATCTGTTAGATTAGAGCAGCCTCTTTTAATCGGATGACCTGCTATGAGACTGTCTGGTAGGCATAATGTGATCATGTTATTAAGGCCGTGAAGTTTTGGYTTTGTTTATGTACCTGATCCAGGTTGCTGTTCGTCTGGCTGTTTTGTACATATTTGAGTAATATATGTTAACAGGAAAGTTTGCATCAAGAGCAGCTTGATGGGATTATACTAATTGCTGATAGTAATGATGGATAGCAAAAACAAACCTTGTGCAAAAAACAGTACATGCACGAAGCTTTATATTAATTTATTCTTTACAGACTCTAATGCAAAATTGTTCCAAGACTTAAGACTGTACACATATATAACTTTCCTGTTTTGTGCAACATGGAGAAGAATAAAAAGCTATGTTACTCTGAGACAAGAGAAACAATAAATCCTTTTGACATAGTTTATGAATTGTGATGTTTTACTATATGTGGAAATAATTTCAAAATACAGTAGCGTTCTTCCAGAGAGATGGTAATATAACTGAGAGACAAAAGTTTATTGTTATTTAACACATTATCTGTAGGCAGTACTTGAGTTTTCTCTAGGAGAAGATGGGAAACAAAGCAGCTTTTTAATGGGAAACTGATAATAAATATGTAAATATCTTGGATAATTTGGAGTAGTGAAGAATAGCAAACTACCTTGCAAGTATGCACATTATTGTCTCTAGCAAGAGGAGATTTACCTATACTGGTTAACAAGATTTGAGGAGAATTAGGCTTAGAGCAGAGAGGTTTAAGCACTTCAGCCTATGGTAAGGTCTTCAGCAAGTTCAGCAAAGTGAATGTGTTATTTCTGAGAAGCTTCCCTTTGAGAGCACARTAGCACATTCAAGGGAAAGTGAGGTAAGCATGAAATTTGCTACTGTTTCTTTGCACCTAAAGTAAAAACTCAGAAAAAGGTTATAAACTTCTATAGTGTTTCCCCTAGAAAGCTTTTTTTAGCATGTAGCTATGTGTCCGTGGAATGTGATGAGGAACAAAGTATATCAATTCGTGATATGCAACTGTGGCTCATTTCTAGCCAACCTAGCTTGTTATTTCTTCTTGTAACTTGCGAATGTAGTAGGACTACTGAATATGTTTAAAGTTCTGCAAATATGTAGAGTGAGGTGAGATTTAAAAAAAAAAAAAAAAAAAAAAAAACAGTTTGGATTTGTTTGGAATGCCTGAGGGTTAACTTGTAACTTAAAGGTAAAAGTGTATTTATTTAACATTATAGTATGACCTTCTTGATACAGATATTACAATTTGGGGAGACTTTAAGATTTTGATACATTAGCTTCCAACTAACAGGCAGGAAATACTGAAACATGAGCCATAGCAAGCAACTAAAGTCAAGATCTGTAGATAGTGCTTGAGCAATATTAGTTGACAAGTTCCTTGAACTCTTTGCTGCCTGTAATAATGGCTATTTATATATATATATATATAATATATATATATATCTGACTCCCTACAAGATTAGAGAGCGTATTTATGTTATGAATGAGTGAGTATATACAAGCCAGATGCCACGAGGCTCAGTTTTTGAGAAGTGACCATATGACTTCTTTCCTAGGCTTAGTTTTCATTTCTTCAGGCCTCTTTCTGTTCCATACAAGTAAGCTTTTTATGTAGATGAAGGAATTTTTGCATAGAGCACAAATTCTGGCGGAAATAAATTGACAGTATTTTAAACTGTGTGTTGTGGGAGGCTTTCTTTACTTTGACTGCCTTTAGATTATTCGCTCTTATTTTAAAATAAAGCTGTAGGTAAGTTTTTGGTTTAGTTACAGAAAAATCTGTAGCTGGAGTTCTGTTCTAAATCTTTATCTTGATCCTGTCATTTAGTTACTATGACCTTGAGCAGATCACCTAGGTTTCAGATCATGGTTTCTTTCTCTGAAATAAGAATAACACACTTCTGAATTCTTTGTACTCTGTCTGGAGAGGCAGGTGTTTGCTTAGTGAAAGTTGGCTTCTATAGTAACTTAGCAGAAACAGAATGAGAAATAATAAAAAAGTAAGAAATCAAAACTAAATTCAGTATGTTTTAGAGAATAGTGTCTAAAGTTGTCAGTTGGTTCAGTAAGGGAGTGGTATGTAATTCTTCACGATACATGGCGAGTTGTATAGAAGCTGTAGGTGGTGATGACCTCATGCTGTAAACTGGAGGGAGATCCCTCTGCAGAGTAGTGTGTCTTAAGTGTAAACTGAACGAAGATCTTGAGAAACTGAAGAATATTCAAAGGAAAGCAAGATGGTTAGAAGGAAACACTCTTCACAGGTTTTGTCTTATCTGGATTTTGAACTAAGCTGGACAGTGAGCCTTAAAAAGGCTTAAAGATGACCCTGGAACTAGGGGGGGGGGGGGGGGGGAGGGGGAAGGGAGGGGAGAGAGAGAGGGGCTGTAAAGCAAAGGGCTCTGAAGTGTGAAAGGAATTTTTGTGATACTAACTTAAATAAAATTCCATCTCTAAAATGCTTAGAGTTTCAGAGAACAGTAAAAACATGTAAATGATTACGTGAAGAGACTTTTCAACATAGTTCTTTTACATTCTTGGTTTGGAATACTTTACTACGTAGAGAGCTCTGAGGAAAGTATTAATTAATATTAATGTATATTGAATAGGGAAGTACTGATGTTAGGAAAATGAGTTACTGGGAGGAAAATAACTCCTCCCCTCAACATTCAAAAAATACTATTTTTATTCTGACATGTTAAATTTATAATCCATTATGAGAAATCAGAGAGAGATACTTGAATAATTAGAAAGTAGAAATCTGAATATTTCTATGAATGATTTCATTTCATTTCCAGATATTAGAGCAACATTTCTGATAATTGCTGTATTTCAGATATAATTCATACTATTTTTAAATAATTTTGCAGTTGCTTGTGTCAGTTTATAAATACTTAAGAGTGCTTGTCCTTTCCTAGGGGGCTTCCTTATTCTATTCTTCAAATAAACAGAAAAGTTCTAGCTTCTCTGTCTGGCATTAGTATTATCTGCTGGAAAAGTTTGCTCTTCTATTCATGGACTTTTTAGTTTGTACAAAACTCCGAAAGAGATGGCAAGGGGAGCAGGAAAGAAATTAGTCCAAATCATTTTTGATTTTATTGTACCTGAAAGAAGTAGAGTGAACTAAGCATATTTCAAGTATGGTAACACCTTATTCTGAGGGGATTTCAGAGGTACTATCATTCATTTCAGTTTTTGGAAAATAGTCATTGCTTGTGCACGTTGAGCTGGCCGAAGTGACAGTTTGCTTTTTAACTTCAAGCTATGATTCCTACCAGCTGTCTTTGTTGTTTGCTCCAGATTTCTGGTCATCTCAGAGGTAGCAGTGAAGTGCAACTTTAGCACGGGAAAATGAGTGAGCTTGACCAGTTACGCCAGGAGGCTGAGCAACTGAAAAACCAAATCAGGGTATGTAGTCACGTAATCAATGGGTTGTGAAGTCACCATGCAGGTGAATTTTTTTTGATGTTCGTGTTCCAGTTATGGTGGGTTGTCCCTGGATGACAAGCAAAATGCTGTCTTAAACTTCTTTTGAGGGAAATTTATTAACTTGACAAAAAGAAATTTGAGGATAAATAGATGCACAGAACACCTTTCAATTTCTTCAGTTTTGTTCTGTTTTGCTGTTGTTGCAGGATGCTAGGAAAGCATGTGCGGATGCCACCCTGGCTCAGGTAAGTTTTCGTTAGAGGTCAACATGAATTACAAAATGTCCTTTTTATAGAAAGGGAAGAAGGTATAAAAAGAAGTCTTTCAAATTAATCCTTTGTTTCCGTTTATTTTTTTCCGCTTTGCTGTTGGGTGGCAAAACGCTTCCTCTGTAAATATGTGTGTTGATTATGCTTGCCCAGTTTCTGAGAGTGGTAGCCTTGAGCAGTCCTTTGATAGGTGACTTGCAGCATCTCTGCCACTCAGTGGAAAATAACACAGGGGAGCCTAAGGTGTTGATAATAAGGTCATACTATTGTGTGAGACCTTTTAGCCTGAGCTGTAAGACCTGCTGAGATTAACCTATTTTTTAATTGCAACATGGTGCCACACGATCTCTGAACCGTTTTTGACCCCCAGATTTCTGCATGTTGCTTGGTTGTCACATTTGATCCTATTAGCTTGGGTCTTAATCGGTCTGGATAAATTTTGATTATGTCTTTTTTAGTTGCATATTCAAAATACAGGACTACTTGAATCTGCATTGGAATGCTTGTGTAGATGTAATGTGTTTACTGTGTTACTTTGGGATTTATGGAGTGAAAAATTCAGTGTACAACCCCATTTTCACTTCAGATCACAGCCAACATTGACCCCGTGGGGAGAATTCAAATGCGTACTAGAAGAACACTCCGGGGACACTTGGCTAAAATTTACGCAATGCACTGGGGAACTGATTCCAGGTGAGTGCTAGTTATGCAGAGCTTTTCTGGAATGTGTGGACATGTAGATGCCACCTCGCACACTTCATAATTTCACTTACAAAATCACTTTTATAGTGCTAATAATCAGATTGGCTAATGATACGCTGTTCTTAAATGATGTCAAATATGTTAGCCTTAATAATGGAGGCAAGTGTCATCGGAAAGATGTTTCTTTCTGTGTGGACTTTTTTTGTGTATGTGTTTGTGTTAATGTGTGTCTCTGTTTTTTTCAGTGACGGTATTTATCTGTTCTTTCTTGTCCAGGCTTCTAGTCAGTGCCTCCCAGGATGGCAAGCTTATAATTTGGGACAGCTATACTACCAACAAGGTAGGATTAATTAAAATTCCTTTGTAAATACAAAGGACTTGACTTTTGACTATATAGACATATATAGACAAATTTTGACTTAGTCATAAATCAAATTCTGACAACTCGAAAGCATTGAAATCTGCATAGGAACTCCATCAGAGCCCTAAGTGTTATGGATGGAAATGCGCAACACTTAGTTTGATCTGTTTTCAGATCACAGAAGCATTTATCATCAGAGACCAAGAAATAATCAACATTTTGTATGAAAATAGTTAGACTTACACATAGCCATGGTGGTTTAGAGCATAAGAGCACAGATTTGACCTTTTCAAACAATCTTTTCCTGTTTAGCTCATGTTACGGCCTTGCAAATGTTTCTGTCAATTCACTTAAGCAAATACTGTGCTGCAGACCAGGAACAGAAACAAATAGATAAAGCAGCAACTCCTAAAATGTTGAAATACTGCTCTACTCATAGCTTCAATAAAGAGTAATAATGCTAAATAGAAATAAATCCTTTTCTCTGTCTTTGTTCTCTCACACAAGGCTGCAGACAAAAGTGTTCTAAATGGCTGCACTGCACCTTGTCAACTGAGAAATAACCCAAAGTAATTGCTATATGCCATGATTTCTGTATTAGTATCTTTTTCAAACTGGAATTGGCAGTTTTGTTTTCTGTACTTGCAAGTCAGTCTTTTCCTGAAGCTCTAATAAATCTAGCAGACCCCTGAAACAGACTGTTTAGCTTTTATGAGATTTGCCAATTAGAATGGATTCAGGGAAAGGAAATTGGAGGGTTTAATTACAGCTTTGGTTGATGTTGCAAGATACATAGGCAAGTTACCCTTAAAATACTTTGATATTCAAACAGCCGAAGATATTTTCTTGTGTGATTTTTTTTTTTTTTCCCTTGCCTGCTTTTTTTGACCAAATATGTGTGGCTAAAGAGAGAGGGAGAGAGGACAACTTTCAGGTAGTGCTCTCCTTATCAAGTTTTTGTTGAACTGATTGGTGTCTCTGTTTCAGGTGCATGCTATTCCCTTGCGTTCGTCTTGGGTTATGACTTGTGCATATGCCCCTTCTGGAAACTATGTGGCTTGTGGTGGACTTGATAACATCTGTTCCATTTATAACCTGAAAACTCGTGAAGGGAATGTACGTGTCAGCCGTGAACTGGCTGGTCACACAGGTGAGTGCCTGTTTTGAGGATGAACAGAGGCATTGAAACACATGGTGAAATCTTCTTGTTTGTTTTCCTTCCAAGCCTGTGGCACTCCAAAGCTTCATTGAAATGCTGTTTTACTATCTAGTCTAGATAACTTTTTGTTAAACAACTCATTATAATTGGTATTAAAACCATTATGTGTTAATTCCTCTGCTATTTTTTGGACTTTCATAACTAAATTTTCTCTCTTTGTTAAATACGGTTTCTAAGTAACTTTTCTTTTTGTTTCCAGCTTTATCATTTTGTACACTGTTGCTTTTAAGACTCTTCAAATGTTTTTGTGCCCTTTAATTATGGGAATCAGAAGCTTTATCCAGCTTTCAATGTTTTAAGTGCTATGGTATTTACTGTAGTAGCTTGACAGTGCTTTCCTTTACACTTGAACAAGCAGTGCTCACTTTAAGGTAGAATATATTGGTAGTGATTAATTGCAGCATCCTGATGCAGAATGTACCATAATATGAGCAAAAAAAAAAAGTTGATGCAGGAAAGTCCTTAAAAACAAGAGTTGTAAGTGTGGACGAATTCAACAGACCTTTTCTTTCAGAACAAACCAGTCTTAACTGTGTTCTTTAGGTCTCAAGAATAAGGGAGATGAGCAGTTTAGCAGCAGCAGTAACATAGAAAATAGAAATTGCTTTTATTATTGACTGGTAATAGGTGTTTTTTGTTTGTTTCCTTCAAGTGACATGGGAAACTTTCCCTGAAAGTTGAATGACTTCTTGAACTCTCTTGAACTCAATTGAAAATGAAAGCACTGGCTATTTAGTAGTCTTTTCGGTATCACACAGAGTCACAGAGTAGCACCGAGTCTGACATACAGATCAGCAGGCTTCTGCTTTCTTGTAGAATCAGTGGTATCTCCTGCAATCTGCAAAAGGGAATCAACTGCAATTAGGCATTTTTCTTAATTTCAGCTCTGAAGCTGCACATGATCTTTGTGATCCCTTTTGTTCTGTGAAGAGTGTAATCCAGTGTGCAGGAAAGCAGGTTTCTCTTGCTTTAGAGGCTTCCAGCTTGGCTCTGGAAATAAGCCCTGAATAGTTCTTGAGGAAAAAACATTGAGTGGGCTGTGTCTTGCTGGAGGAAACTTGGGTTACTCCAAAATGCATAGCTATATGTTAGTGATTTTTCTCATATGGAGAAAAATAAAAGAAATATAAAGCAAAGCAGGCTTAATGCTTTTTAATCTTCTCAGCTGTCTTTCTAAAAAGCCTGACTTCAGGTATCTTATTTAGAGGAGTTATGTATCATCTGGGTGGAGGGAGAAAAGCAGTACTGATTTGACCTTCAAAATGACGACTGTGATGTGACCAGTAAATGGATTTTTAGGAAGGGAGAATTGAAGTGACTCCTCAGCTTTATCTTACAGTACGTGGCCTTGTTCACGTGTATCAAGATCTTGAGAAATGCTATTGTTATAGCTAAAGCCTTATTTCTGTGATATTCTAGCTGCTTACTGATCTTAGCATTATAGACTATACTTGCAGCTGGGGAAACATGGATCTTTACCTTAGCATGAGAGGCAGAATTTTACTGTAATGCAAGAGACATTGAAGGATTACACTTGAATGTAAGGTTCATGTAAAATTTCCTTGAAGGAACAGTTTTAATGGGCTGCTCTTCTGTTGCAGAACTGAGCAAAACTACCAATAAGCCTGTAACAGGTTTTCATATGTTGCTGTAGCCTGAATGTTTGGTGTTTGTGCTCTATAAAGCACAATGATGTAGAGATGATAATGGTAATCACGTTGGGTTTGGCAAACTAAATCACRAAAAGTAAATCACGTTTAGTTTGGTATGTGATCCTTCAGTAGATAAAAAGCACAGAAATATCCCAAACCAGCATTGAAGTCAATTCATTGATATCACAGTTGCAGACATCCAATGCATATGCTCTGCACTGAACAAGAGTGTAGGTTTTTTCAACAGCTCCATGATGCAGCCAAGGTCATGAGCACTTGTTGATCCTGGATGTAGTGTCACACAGATCCCCTTTAGTGTGTGCAGTGTAGGGTTATATGCACTTCTCTCCAGCTTGACATGTAGATCCCAGATCTCTTTTTTCTTCCTTTCCCCTTTTGTGTTAGATTAACCTGCTGTGGTGTGCTAGTGTAGTGGTTGCATTGAGCATGGTCTATAAAGAGTTGTTTTAAAATTCTGTATTATGTTTTAAGCTCCCTGGTTCTGCATAAGAGGAAGAAGCAGCTGTTATGAAACAGTAATTTTTTTTTCTTCATTGACTTTTTTTTATTTTCAGGATACTTGTCATGCTGCCGCTTTTTGGATGATAATCAAATTGTTACTAGCTCTGGTGACACCACCTGGTAAGCAGTAAAATTGTTATGTGTTAGTAATGGCATTTCACAGTCAAGTTTTACTGGAACAAATCATCATGATAAAGTGGAGCAACTTTTGAAGACAAGAGAAAAAAGTCAACAGGTCCATACATCCTCAGTGAGGGTTTTTTCTTAAAAAGAGAGAGAGAGAACATCTGACTCAGCTTTTGCTGTAGCCTTACCAGGGCCGTTTGGCCTTAGAGTAGTTTAGAAAATGAAGCCACTCTTGTGTCAGAAGAAAATTGTGTATAAACAGACATGAGGCTTAGTCATTCTATTTGCCCTCTGTTTTTTTAAACTCTTTTAGATAATGTATAATAGCATATACTTCTATCAACAACAACAATCTACAAGAGACAGCTTTTTAATTTCTGCTCTCTATGGCTGTTTTGTAAACATAGAATAATTGAACAAAGAATGTCTATTCTACCTGCAGTTCTTTTCTTTTTAGTGCTTTATTGTGCTTTTATAAATGCTACAAATTTAAATTTATAAAAAAGGTAACACAATAGAACATCAGTTTTTATGAAGTATAAATTTCATAAGCGGAGGTTCAATCAAGAATTGCTGTCTAGCTCTTTGAATCAGACACAGAAATGGGTGTATGAATATGCTAATTTTTGCATTTCTAATTATTCTTTTAAAGCGCCCTCTGGGACATAGAAACTGGTCAGCAGACAACTACATTTACTGGGCACACTGGCGATGTCATGAGCTTGTCCCTTGCTCCTGATGCCCGGTGTTTTGTTTCTGGTGCCTGCGATGCCTCTGCCAAACTGTGGGATGTTAGAGAAGGAATGTGTCGGCAAACCTTCACTGGCCAYGAGTCGGACATCAATGCCATCTGTGTACGTACGAGCCGCAGCTGCCGTCAAGGGAGGGCAGTTCATAATTTTGTTTCGCCCTCATCTCAGCTGGGAGGCCTCTTCTGTGTGCTGTGCTCTCTAGTTTTGCAACACTAATTGATAGCTTTTGCAGTTCACTAATCGATAGCTTTTGCAGTTGAGGAAAATAGCTGACATTTCTGTAATTTCAGATTCATTGAGGTAAATGCAAAAAGTGACTGGTTATTAAATTAGCATGGCTTAGTGTGTGCATGCTCTTGATTACTTGGTCAGTTTTGCCTGTATCTCAATAAAGAAGAGCTCTTCATTGCTGCTTTCTGGTTGCGCTTGATCTATGCCAAATATATTCATTGAGTGTGCTTTGGCATCCAAGGATGCCTTCCTAATTTTCAGCTTTGTAGTACTGCAGGGTTTGTGCCTGAGTACTAGATGAGAAATATCTTGTGTATTTTGGACTTCTGTCTGCCAGACATAAAAATATTTTGTAGCTTTTCAGTAGTTTTCTTGTTTTATCAGCTACTCTGAAATTAATCTGAAATCTTATGTCTTCCCTCCCTTTCCCCTCTTCCCAATTAAAGTTCTTCCCAAATGGCAATGCATTTGCCACAGGCTCGGATGATGCCACATGCAGGCTTTTTGATCTTCGGGCTGATCAGGAACTTATGGTTTATTCACATGATAATATCATCTGTGGCATCACCTCTGTAGCATTTTCCAAGAGTGGACGTCTCCTCCTAGCTGGTTATGACGACTTTAACTGCAATGTCTGGGATACACTGAAAGCTGATAGAGCAGGTAAGTCTGTCCGATTTTAAATACAATAGAGTAACCAACTGAATGTGCAAGTAGAGAGGTAAGGCTAGTAGATCTATGCAAATGTCTCAGCTTCACATGATAATTGAGTTGCAGCAGATCTCTATCTTGGCAAATAAAATCAATGTGGGTATTTAAATCTTGTGCTTCAGAGCATTACAAAATAAAATTAATTGAATAAAAAAAGATAAAACATTTGTAACAATCCAGTTGAATTTGTCTTGTATGTTCAGAAGTCTTGTAAAATACTAATCAGCCTGTTTAGGGAGAGAAAATACATAAGAGCACATGTTTATACTATACTTATAATGTTGCCAGCAGAATTTTCATTTATGGCAGTGACTTGGCATTTCATGACAAAGCGAGGGTCATGAGATGTGAAATAGACAAGTAAAAGCCTTAAATACCGCACTGTAAGTTACTCCCTTGTAAACTTACCTGGTTCTTTTTATCTTTATAAAAGCGTTTTAAAATCCAAGCAACACTTGTTTGTTTTTTTGGATATATGCCTGCCTGATTCAAGCATGGATGCCTTAATATTATTTAAACTGAAAAATGAAATGCTCAAAGCAATGCATTTGTTGCATGTTCTTATTTATAGGTGTCCTTGCCGGTCATGATAACCGTGTCAGTTGCTTAGGTGTGACTGATGATGGAATGGCAGTGGCAACAGGATCGTGGGACAGCTTCCTCAAAATCTGGAACTGAAGTAAGTAGGCATCGAGTTAATGAATCTTCGTTCCTTCGTTCCTTCGTTCCTTCGTTCCTTCGTTCCTTCGTTCCTTCGTTCCTTCGTTCCTTCGTTCCTTCGTTCCTTCGTTCCTTCGTTNCCTTCGTTCCTTCGTTCCTTCGTTCCTTCGTTCCTTCGTTCCTTCGTTCCTTCGTTCCTTCGTTCCTTCGTTCCTTCGTTCCTTCGTTCCTTCGTCTTTTTTTTTTTTTTCCCCATTGTGTTCTCAATGCTTTTCTGACCAGTGAATAAATGGTGGTGTTTTACTGATGCTACAGACACACAGTTCAAATCAGAAAATCTTTGGAAGGGGGGAGGAAAAATATCTGCTGCTTTTAGGAGGCTACTTGCTTAATACCTGCCATGGTTGCGTGAACAGGTAAACTATTTGGCATAGTTTAGCTCGTGGAGCTTCTCGAGAGGGTCCAGAGAAGAGCAACCAAGATGATTAAGGGAATGGAACATCTCCTGTACGAGCTGAGGCTGAGTGAGCTGGGCCTATTTTGTCTGTGGAAGAGAAGGCTGAGAGGGGATCTGATTAATGTGTATAAGTTCAGGGAGGGAGAATGCAGGGAGGAAGGGGACAGGCTGTTTTCACTGGTGGCCAGCGATAGGATGAGGGGTAATGGCCATAAGCTGGAGCACGGGAAGTTTTGTCTCCAGGTGAGGAGGAACTTCTTTACTCTTAGGACAGAGCAGTGGAACAGGCTGCCCAGGGAGGTTGTGGAGTCTCCTACTCTGGAGGTCTTCAAAACCTGCCTGGATGCCACCCTGTGCCAGATGCTCTAGATGTGCCTGCTTGAGCAGGAAGGTTGGACTAGATGATCTCTAGAGGTCCCTTCCAACCTTGAATATTCTGTGATTCTGTGATAGTTTATTTTCCTGATAGGGATCACACTACAGTGTTTTAAATCTGGGTTATTAAATACATGATATTCTTGCAAATGATGAGATAATGGCTGAATGTGCCAGTCTGTAGGGAGAACACTGCAGCTTATTGAAGTGCAACTCATGATATGTCTTTCTGTGTGTCAGAAGAGCAGCGGACTCTGTGACTGGAAGAACTTTCCAGCGGTTGAAAACTAAAAATGATAGCATATCCAGTCTGACCATACTAACTTGGACCCCCATCCTCCCCAGCTCCAAAGGGCAAGATTTTTTCCTTCTCCTGTTGCTGAAATGAAGAGCACAATTACCTTTCCAAGAAGAATTTCTGTGGTTGTAAGCAAAATGAAATTGTGTATTCCTTTGGGACCATTTTCTTTTATCTTGGGAATTTAAAAAATGAAACACTATCATAAAAGCATGACCAGAAGATTAACTTGATCATAATCGTGAAACAGTTAGCTTTCACTGTAGTTTCCAAGTTGAAGTTAAGAACTTTGTTTTATCTCACACACGTGCAAATTTTAGTCATGTTTGTAGCAGGATTTTTTCCAAGTTTCCTTTTTAAATACATTTCTTCAATTAAGCAAGACAAAGGAGTCATAGCCCAGAGAATCCTGGGGGGTTGTTAACATTGTAAATTTAGTCCCTGATTTTTTTAATTTCTAGTATCACAGATAATTGTTGCACAAAACATGGCATATATAGGATAATGTTAAGAAGTAAGGTAATCAAGCACATGCTGTACAAGGTAATGAATGCTTGTTTAAAGAATCCTTTCACCTTTTATGGGCAACAAATGCAGTTTTTTGGTGTGTTCCCTCCCTTCCCCCCCCAGTTTCGCCCCTTTTTTGTGTTGTTTTTATCCACTTAGGTTTTTGTCCACTTGAAAGGGCAGTTTATATATACTAACACTACCCTGTAGTCTCAACAACCAGGAATCTCTGTTTTCAAAAGAGACCTATCCTACACTTGGGTATTGAGTCAATTCTTTGTGTATGAAATGATGTACAAATCAATGTTTTGAAAATAATGATCTTGAACTTTCTAAGTTAAACAAAAAAAAAACTTTTTTTGATTGTTTGCCATATTGGGTGGGTTTACTCTTAGAATCGCATGCTGTAGAAATGCTAAAAAGTGCATATTGGACTAAGTCCTTAGATGTTTTTTCTTTTAAAGAAATAACCTGTTTAAAAACTGTAACCATTGTCGCTGTATTCATCTATTGTTGCTACTCTGTGCATAAACATATGAAGAACTCAAGTACAAAGCTATGCACGTTTTGGAGTAGCGTGATAAATCACTTTGTGTTTTTTTTTTTGTTTTGTTTCTCTTTTTTTTTTTTAAAGAAACAGCCTGTTCAAACAATCGCTGTCAATGATTCTGGGGTGTGGGAGGAGGGAACCTAGACCATCTTTATAAATCAGTTCCTTACCGCCAGTTCCTCTTGCAGGATGAGTCCTTTGCATCTGATTAGAGTCACTTTTGTAATGAGCAGGTTTTCCTGGCTTTCTTTTCAAATAAAACATTAAAAGAAGCAGCATTTGGACAGCAGATTGTTCTGTTAACGTTCCTATCTTCTCACTGTAACCAGAAATGTTCCTCCCTAGCAGCAGTAGTAGCTTTTCTCCATTTTGTTTTTTTCTGCAACATTCTGTACAAAAGTGTGCTGTAATTGTGCATTAGGCCTGGATTTGGCATAAAAGGATGAATTCCCCTTTTCTCTTTTATGAAACTACTCTGTAGAGCTTTCTCCATGCCCTGTATCCCTCTTCACCTTTTGTATTTAATTTTAAAGTCAGTGTACTTCAAGAAAGCTGGATGCAAGATAGATACTATATTAAAATGTAATGTTATTTAAGATGTAATAAAGCAGTTTGACATGAGTTTTGACTGATCTGTGTTGCAGCTTATTATTCTACCACAAAGCTCCTGGCAGAGTTTGAGTTATGAAATCAGAAAAATATATGCTGCCTCAGAATAAAAATGTTAATTAGTTTCAGTATTTTAATATAGGGGTTTTTAATGTGTTTAATGGCTAAGTGGGCAGAGCATGCAGTGTGTTGGAACTATTGATTTGTCTACCCATAAAAGCAAATTTGTGAAACCAGTACTTAGGGAGGTTAAATTGATTAACAATTATTGCTCAGCTTGAGATATTATCTATTTTAATAAAGTCAGTCCTCTTAATTCAACCAAGAGAAGTTCCAGTCCCATGTCTTGGTCTCATCCCTACCTTAGAAATTCTGAGTCTCCATGGAGAAATCTTCCAAAGCTGTGAGGAGATGGTGACATTACTACAGTAGCAGCTTTGACTGTTTGCTTTGGGGTTTTGTGGATGGCAGGATAATGGTAAGTGAGCTTGTGGCTTGAAATGCATAAATTTTGGAATTTAAATTTAGTCTTTTCCAATTCCAAATGATACAGCTGTTTTTTTCCATTCCCTCAGTATATTTTTACTGCAGCAGATGTTACTGTCTAGTCTATAACAAAATCAGTGCAGATATTCTGTCTTTTCCTTATCTTTATCCATGTCAAATTACTTGCTTTGTTGGGAATGCCTTTGCTGGCAGTAAGATAGTAACTTCTTCTGTCAAGAGGCTAATGTGCAGTGTGATGTGTCTGAAATGCTAACACTGGACGATATCTCTATTACAAATAGTGCTGCCGTTAAATATGAAGCCTTACATGAAAACAGGCACACATTTAAGTATGTATCCAGGAGGGTTTCCTGTCACTTGGGATTAAGTCTTGAGTTTTTAGTGCCTGTATTTTTAGGGTGGTCTTGATCTGTACCCACATCAGAGTGGCTTGCACAGTCTCAGGATTGGGAATCACAATAACACAGTGGCCCTTTCTGTATGTTCTAGCTTAAAGATAACTCTGGTTCCAAAAGAGTAGCTTCATTTAGCATCAGGAGAAGGCCTAGAGCTAATTTTCATAAACTGAAAACATTTGTATTTCTATTTGGTATTTGGGGCAGCTGCTGCAGTTCCTGACTTACTGCAAGATTCCACTATGTTTATTAGATGTATGAAGGGATGAGTGAATGTGAAGCAGAGGGAAAAGCAAATTACAGGTATTTATTTGGTCCTGGCTTGGAAATTTTGTCATAGTGATAGAACAGGCATCCACAGTCCTAGAACGCTCAGAAAAAAAGCGCTTTTCTGCTAAGTGTGCTGTAAAGTTGTATTGCTGCAACTAAGGACTTGAACACCTTTATGTCAGCGTGTTGGTTCTGAATAGTTAGCTTCTTCATAAACTATTTTAATACTCTACTGCTTTATATTTTGAATGGCAAACAGCAGTGCAAGCAGTAAGCTCTCCTTCACAGCTGCGTCATGTTAGTACAATGCATGCAAAGAAGCTGATTTATCTGAATCATTTTCAGCATTTTTCAAAGAAAATAAGAAATCCCTCGCCTAAACTGTGCCCTTTAGAATTAATCTGTCAACTTGATGCACTGCCTGCATTGTCTCCCAGTGGGCTCCTCCGCAGGGAGGAGCTGCCTCCATTTTGTGAGCTGGAAATGCCGGGAGATGCGTGTGATTTTTGTCCTGGTTGTGTAATGGTCGAGCTGAAACAAAGCCTGGCCAGCAGCGCTGTGTTTAGCTCAAAGTTTTTCTTTGCCTTTGCTCTTCCTGTCTGACATCCGCTACTCCGGCTGACGCCTCTTGGCAGTTGCTGCCGCAAACACTCCGGCGAGCAGCAAAAGGCGTTGGGATCAGGGTGGGATTAGTGCGACATTCTGATGCTGGTGGAGGAAATATCCACTGTAATGAGCTTGGATGCAAGCTGGAGAGAGTGAAAATACTCTTAATTTTACAGTGTATTTTAATGGAGGGGGACAGGGACAGAGAGGCGGAGAGAATCCTTCAGAGTTTGGCTGAGTCCTCCACAGGATGTCTTCCAAAATCCTATGGGAGGAATTTGAGCCTAGTCTTCCTACTCAGAGCATAGGTCTGCTTTTCTTGATACAGTTTGAGGAGCTTTCATGCTTTGCAGCATGGAAATTCAGCTCTACAGAACAAAAACAGGCCATAAAACAATTGTCTGAACTCTCTGAAATGTTACGTAACTTGGCAGCTGCATCCTATCCAAAAGTTACTTGGATCGTTCCCTCTTTTCTGTTCTCAAAGCCAGAAGTTTTCCTTAGTCTGGTGCTAAATTAGGATTCACTGGATTAAATAGTCTGCAGGCAATTTTAAATTGTACCTCTCCCTTTTTAGATTGGCTTCCTCTAATGCTGCAGACTGAAATAAAAACCCTTGTGTCTTGCCGGGAAGCATCAAGAGCTAATTCATAGCAGGGCTTTATCAAGACCTGTGTCCCATGGTGGACATTTGAGCTGCATCTTCTAGGTCCCGTGTATCTGGGACGCTGTGTGACTGAACAAACTTGGATTATAAGTAAATGTGGCTTGAAAGCACCAGGCTGTAGTTTCTGCTGCCATCTGCTGTTAATGATTAGTTTAGGCTGGGAACTTGTCACAGTAATCAAAGCTTTGCAAGACCAAGGGACTTCCCCGGTGGCAAGGTGAGGACCCAATAGAAAAATGAAGCGGAAAAATACTGGTGCATTGCCTGCTATTTCCTTGTTTCCCTGGTGGCACCGCTGCATCTCGCGCGTTTCCCAGCTCTAAATGCTTATAAATAATGCAACACAGCCCTCCTTGCTAGGCTGACTTAAACTTACTTGCAGGAAATTTGCTGGGCAAGACACAAAAATGAGTTCATTCTGGCTGAGGGCCACGGTGTCAAGTAAGTCATGTTACCGAGCTGAATTAAGAAGTTTGCTCTGTCTCTTAAACACTAGAGGGCACTGGTAGGGTGTGATTTACACTCGCTGAAAGGTGGTTTAGCTCCTAGAAGTGGGTGGTTTTGAAGAGCTTCCTGCTTTCCATGGCTTAGTGCTCGCTACCACGAGGTGCCCTGCAGAAGGGGCAGTGCTGCAATAGGAACAACGGAGGGTTTCTTCTACTGCCACCCATTTCGTCTCTGCTCTATGCTGGAGGGATGGGCTTGCTCCCAGATGCCAGAAATGAAGCCTCTGTATAAAAAGCTATTGGATTTAAGGGAATATTTTTTCCCCCTGTCCTTGGTCAATAGGAAAAAATGTAATGGATTCAGGTTGTATCAAGGGAGTTTCATATTAAACATCAGGAAAAGCTTGTTAATGTAAGAGTTATGAGTAACCTAAGACAACCTTTCAGTGGTAATGTGGCGTTGCTATGGTTCGAGAGCCTTACAACAGTCCTGGTAGATGTCTGCTATAATATGACAAGGGTAAAACTGATCCTGCCTTGGGCCAGAGGAAAGTATGGAAAGAGGAAAGGCCTTGAGGTCTTGTCGAGTTCTGGTCTCCTATGACTAGGAGTTGTTCTACCATAGATGCATAAATGACGCACTACTGAACTGGTTACTGCAGTGTTTTCTGAATTTACTCTTTCACGACATAACACTTGAGAACAAAACAGAACCTAAAGCGTGATTTCAGATTAGCCATTTTTACTGGAAATCACTCAGGGCCAATAGGGCACAATACCAGAAATGCTGTAATGTTTGCTCTCCAGAGTTGTTTAGATGACATATAATAAATATATTGCTGACAACGCACAGTAAGCAAGAGGAATTGAATGCAGAAGAGCTGTTTTATTCTTTCTGTGAGGCTGCTAGGCAGGCTGCTGTCCAAGTCGAGGCAGTTATGTAAGTGTGTGACCCAACTTCCTCCTAAGGTGTTTATCATAGTTGTTTAACTTGGGTGGTTTCTGGCATGTAAAGGAGGCAGAACAACCAGCTCATCCTGTTAGCAAGAAAAGCAGTAGCTGAAGCTGTAACTTTTAGTAGTTTTTAACTGTTTACTATGGTGATGGTGTGTTTTGGAAGTAGTCTAAATGGCAGAAATAAGCCAGTTTCCTTGAAATACTGTGAGAGATTCAGAGTTCCATAAGGCTAAATTCTGAGATCTCCTCGTATTTCAGTCATGAAAAGATCCTGTTGAAGCACCGGTGTTTTTGGAGCAAGTAAAAACTCTAATTGCCTGATTGAGAACAAATTGTTTTGGTTTGTTTTTCTTCAGTATGACTGCCTTGTTTGTTAACAGTGCTGCAATTTGCCTTTTCACTGTCAAAGCCTTTGGCAATCTCCCCTGCTACTTTCCACATGTTCAATTTCTCCTGCATCCCTACATTAGCTGTTAGGTAAGTGTTCCTTAGATGGGCTGGCGGTGCCCTCTCGGTGTTATCCACCAGCTGTCAAAGACAGCCTGTACCGTCACAGAGATTTTGTGTAGGACTACATGCCAGCATTCCCAATTGCTTATCTCAGCTGTGCCACAGCTCTGTGGCAAGTCGATTACTCTAGTTTGCAGTCTTTAAAATGGGGATAATGATATTTATGTAACTGCTGGAGGTATTTGTAGATCAGCGTGAATATGGCATGCATTTATCTGTGGTTATGTCACTGGCTTTGTGGTGCAGCACTGCCGACAATAGCTCATTTGGCACATTCGTGTGCCACCGTTTTCATCAGACTTGAAAGTTTATGGACATCTTGAATCCTCACAATTGCTCAGAAGCTTTAAATAGTCGGATGGAGTTTGAAGCAGCAAGTCCAAGAGGTAAGAACTACACTCTTCAGCCCAGTTGAATTTTACTAGAGACACTTGTATTTCCTGTTCAGTGCAAATATCTTCTGCTGAAGGCAAGGCCTAGGGCTCTAGATGGAACCTGAGCTGGGCCTTCCTGTATCTGGCACCAGTCTTCAATATGGTTAGTTGAGGCTCCCCTCAACAATTACAACTTTTGCTAATTTACCTATTTTTTGTAAATTTACAGCCAACAAAATTGTATTTCACAGAGCTGAGTGTCTAAGCAGGAGAAACTAGTATCTTTTTATATTTATTTCTCAATGTTACTCTCAGAGATCCTATTTATTCACTTTGTTCTCGCGTCTTCCCTGGAAGAAAGGAAGAACAACCCGTGTTATGAGTGTTGTAACCTGTTGTGAGCATGTTGTCGGGGAGGGCCCTCTGCAAAGCCACCTAACTCTTGTATTTCTCATGGCACGTGGCCTGCAAAGAGGGAAGAGGTGCCGCTGCTCTGAGCGTTATATTCAGCCCAGGAGGCTGAGCTTCCAAGGTCACTGCCGAAGCCAGCCAGCTCAGAGCTGCTTCTGTAACTATAGGGCTTTTATAAATAGGATAGGCTGATTAGCAGCCTTATTTAATCTCCATCAATTAATGAGGATAAGCATTTATAAGGTCCAGAGTTTGTACCTCTTGTAAGATTTTCAGCAAGTGCATAAAGTCACTGTGCTTAGAGGAAATGTCCATCTCTTCAAAGTGTTTATTTTTAATAGTCCATATTTGTTCCTGTGGAGGACTACTGCAAAATATATATTTTAATGGTGCTTTATCTTTCATCTTTAAGGAGCTGGAAAAATTCATCCCAAAGCCAAGTCAGATGAAATTTTACTGCTTGGTTAGCTTTGAGAGTGGGTAACTGGTATGGACAAGTATGGTTAACATAGGCACCGAGTCTGAGCTTGCTTCCTGCCTGCTGGAATCTGTTGTTTCACTTTGGAAAACAGCCTTGGAAATGAATGGCTTGGCTCTGTGAAACATAGTTCTGTATTATTTCCTAATATCACTCTAGATTGTCCCTCCACAGTTCGAGTATCCTTTTAAGCACCTTCAAAACATTTGATTCTCTAAGTTATCCCTGTCTTCATGGAATTGTTCAGTTTCTGGGCTCCTTCACTGAAAGGGACATCAAGCAGAAATTGTGACTCGAATTGAAACTATTGCTCTCTCCACAAAGTGAAGTAACATTGGGTACGGAATTTCCCCATATGTAGTAACTGCTTCCTCTTTTTTAAGTCACTTTGTTTATTAACTCTGAATTCTGTTTTGCAACACCATAAGCTTCTAGAAACAAGCAATTTCACAATAAGGAAGAAAAATCCGTAATTACCAAACTCTCAAATAGTGTAAACTGCAGTCAGTTTTTGGATTTGCCCTGAAATATTTTTCAGGGAGACACATGTAAGAGTTAATACAAAGAGCTTAAAATATGACCTCTTTAAAATAGAGCATTATTGGTAGAATGCATAGTCTAGAAATTAGAAAATTTCTTTTTGACAAACGTGAAGGATAGTCTTCATGTTTTCACTTATACAGGGGCCTAATCTTATCTCTTTCTAAATTTGTGACAAAATTTCTGCTAATTTCAAGATTAATCCTCCATTCATGAATTGACAGAAACAGGTTCAAGCTACTATTAAAATCAAATGCTCTTCTGTTTGTACCCTGGCTATCAAAATTCAGTTTCAGCTCAAGGACAGACTTAAAAACTGCTGCTTATCAGGAGCTTCTGCTCACACTTGTGATAAGGATACGCATGCATTCCCAAACTGGAGTTTCATGGCAGAAAATATTTAAATGGTGTTTGAAGGAAAGATTTCGTGATGGTGATTGCAGTTAAGTACCCTTATCAGAACTATCACTTCGTCAACGATGGTGTAATTTTGCAGCGAATTTCCAAGTAACATGCCTATTTCTTAACATTTGGCTGACCCTGCTTTTGGCAGCATTTGTGAGGACTGTCTCTTGTCTCCAATAATTCCTAAACAAAACCAGGCTGAATGTCATTTATAGGAGTAAAAATTGAAGAAATGTCCCGGCCAAGCCCTGAGCATGAGCAATCGCCACCTGAACAGCCCCTGCAGTTGCCCACACTGGGCAATACTGCTCTGGAGAGCTGCCTGCTACACGGCAGAGGCAGACCTAAATCTCGTCCTATCCAGCAACCCTCCTTTTAAATGCGGCGTGACAATATTTTGGGGCAAAAACACGGTTCCTGAGCTCTCCCACCACCCTCCCCCTCAGGCAGCCCGCSCGCCCCGCCCCGCGGCGCCCCCACGCATGCGCAGTGCCGCGGCCGCCCGAGGTGGCGCAGGCGCCGCGCTGCGCAGGCGGGTGGCGCGCAGCGCATGCGCGCGGCGCGCACTCTCAGGAGGCGGGCAGAGGACGATGGAGGCGCGCAGGGTCCGCCGGCTCCGCTCGCTGCTCGGGAGCAGCCGCTGTCGCCGTCACTACCGCTGGGCTCGGCGCGATCGCCTCTGAAGGCGTCGGCTTCGCCCGCTCGGGGAGCAGCCCGTGGCGCGGTGAGTCGGGGGGCGGCGCGGCGCGCACGGGCCCGGAGGCGGCTCCGCGCGGGGCAGCCCCGCGCGGCCTCCGCGGGGCCCCGGGCCGCGCAGCATCGCCGCGAGCGGAGAGSGGATAACGGGGTAAGGTCGTTCGGTCCCTGGCCCCGTCCCCTTTTTGTTTCCTGCTCTAGCATTTTGTCTCAGGCTAACGCGGACAGGGACATATCTGGGAGCCTGAGTTTGTGCTTGTTAGTATCTGTTCCTTGGTATGGTAAACAAAGCTGTCTGTTGTGCTGGCGTTTCTGCAGTGGAAGGTTAAATGCAGGGATTTGGTTTCCCTGCATATTTAACACGTGCTAGTCATGCTATCCTATTTGTCTTCCTCTTTTTTATTTTTTATTTTTTAGAAATACTGTGCAAGTATCTTGTAATCATGTAATCAAAAGAGATGACATGGAATTTCACTGTGTGTTGGAGGGTCAGGCTTGGGAATGCTTTGGCTTGTTTGCTGTTGCCTTCCAATATGCTAGAACACAAAGTTGTGGACTCAGCCCAAGGCTTGACTGCCTGATACAGATGTTGCTGCTTGCTTGGGTGAGGGAAGCCCCAGGGGCTTGCAGATGGAGTCATGTGTGTGTATTCTCAATGGGACAAAACAAACAAACCTGCCTGCAGAATAAAGTGAATACCCTACAGAGCAAATGAGCAGGAGTCTGTAGCAATAGAGCGACTGGTGCAGTTTCTGGGTATAACTTGTTCTCTTTTGCTCTAATACGTGGCTGAGAAGTTGCAAAATGAAGAGGTTGGACAGCTGGTGCAATTCTCGAGAAATGGATAGAGTAGCTGCATTTTTAAAGTCATGCTAAATCCAGGGTGTATTTGGTCACGATGCACCCTGCAGTAATCGTCGCAGTGAATTGGTAGCATGCATTTGACAGAATAAAGCTTTTTTACAAAATAACCGCTAAAAGCATTCTCATCAAAAATGATTTTAACTACTTAAAGCTGTAGCCTTATGCTCATTGTGTAGCTGCTTTAGCTGCTTCCTTCGAAAGCTCGTGTATCTTCATAAATGCTTTTTTTTTAAACAGTGTAGGGTGTAAACTGTAGTTAAAATAGTCTGAATTAGAAAGATTCGTGCAGGAGGATCTTTGCAGATTCTTAGTTCTAGTTTTATGCTAATCAGGTTTTCCCCACTGATAGCAATGCTCCTTGGTGCTCATTCTATCTCTTAGCTAAGAATGAGAAGTTGATACTAGATGGGAATATATGGTTGTTAAATGGTTGTTTGAGGCTAGAAACTCTCAAATAAAACCAATGGCTTAGTTTAGAAGATGAATTAACGAAGAAACGATATAGGATCTTCTACAGTCAAAGATATTGCATATCTCATATGTAACGTTGCTTGTTTTCTGAAATGTAGGCATTTAAGTGACTTGATTTTTGTACCTGGCTCAGAAACAACCAGCCAGTGTTGTATTCCTGAAACTTGGTGAAGTTGTGATTAAAAAGTAATGCACATGAGAACCTACTAAAATTTATGCTGTGTCAGTTTTCAGTCTGTTTTATGATCCTAATAATTATATGCACAAATTGGGCACAAAAATTACGTTGAGCTTGGAGCTGCATGAAAATTGATCTACATTTTTCCTTACTACAGATGTCAGAATAGTCAGTGTGTTGAAATGGGCATTTTTGAACTTTTGGTCTTAGATGATACTAAGCAATGAGTAACCAACAACTAAACATTGATACCTTTCAGTGCAAGATGTTATAAATTATTAACAGATGACAGCAATGGTAGCTCTTAGTAGTGGTATTCTGTTAGGGCAAGAACAGGTTTATTTCAAGAACTTTTTTTCAGCTTGGTCTTGTCCCACCTGTAGGTTTGGGAATCCCCTGTGTTTTAATGCCAGTTTTCCTTCCTTCCAGTGTCTTCTGATGATTTTGAAGAACTTCTCAATGGCCCAGATCTCTTTGAGAAGTGTTTCTCAAAATTCTAAGTATGTCAACTAAGTGGCTAATATTTTYGTTAGTAGCTTCGGTAATACTGAAACTTTTCTTCTTTCCTTCCTACCTCTTGTTCCCTGGTATTTTTTTTTCCACAGGCATTGAGTTTTTCCCTGACTGAAGCTCCTTCACTTCCAGTATGGAGATGAATCAAGAAAAACTGTGTACCAATAAAGCTGATGCAAGCTCAGAGTCTGCTTATCATTGTTCAGCATGTCATGATGACGAGGAGTGGGGCAGTAGTAGCCGGGGTCGAGCTAAGTCCCGAAGTCTGTCTGCTTCACCAGCTCTAGGAAGCACCAAAGAATTCCGGTATGGCTCTTGTTTCTTCCTGCTTTTCTACCTTTAAGGAAAAAAGGAAATATATTGTGGTTATCTTTACTCTTTTTTTTCTGTATAACTAGTCCTGCAGCTGTGTCAAGTGATAATAAACATAAAGAAAAGTAGTATTCATTACAACAAAATTTGCCGTAATGAACGGGGAGAAAGATAATCAGTGAGTCATCGTTCTAGTTGGTCAGTGCTGTGAAAATTTAACTGTAATTAAAAAAAAAACAACAAAAAAAAAAGCGCCAAACCTTAAATTTTTGAACAAGTTCACTAGGTGTTCTTCACTAAATCCACATTATCCACATTCATTTTAATTGGTTTCTAGTTAGCAGTGAGGTCTTGCTTCTGTTTTACTGTTTTTCAGTAGATCTTAAACTTTTTTTTCATAAGTGTATTTTCAACAATGTACACATGCACATACATCTTCAAGAAAGAATTATGTTTAAAAAGGGCTATGTGAAACATAATAGACACAACCCTCCCATCTCCCTTTTTTGTGTGAAACAGAATATTAGAAGATATTTGCCTGAAAACAAATAAATGTAAAACAATGATTTTCAAATGTGCAGGATCCATTGTGCTTAAATATTTTACTTCCAAGCTCTCAGGATAGATTTCAAGGTAGGTATTGGTCATGTAGATTTCAACACAGCTTTAGAACTTTTAAGTACTTTACAGAAACAAATCACAAAAACTCCTGAATGTATGGATATTAATTCAAAACTTGATATTAACTCGAAGTCACAGGAGAAATACAAGTTGGAAGAACTTCACCTCTTGCTCAAGAAGTTGCTTTTAAGAACTCCTTAAAATGCACTACAGGTAGTCCTTAATTCAGAATGAAGGAGGGGAGATATTAAACCATACCTGTAATCAAAAAGGCGTGGCTGTCAAAACGGGTATCTGCAAAGTTCATAGTGTCAAAAAGGAATCATGCTTACAATTATTTAGAAATGCCCTAGATAGAGTTCTAGTGCTGTATATGAAAAAAATGTATAGGAATTTAATTTACATGGCAATGTGAGGCAGCACAAGGTAAGTTTGTGCTTGCAGATCATGTTACAGCACTTTGAAACGCCCATTTTTTCTCCATGCCAAATAGCTAATCTGCTGCCAAATAGCTAATCTGCTCTCCTGCCTTGTCATGTGGACAACTTGGATTCAACTTTTAATGTTGTGATCTTTGGACTCGTCAGAGCTGTTAAATAGCATGCTTTGATAGTAGTGTCTTATTCCTGTGAGAAGTTTATCAGCACTTCCTACTGTGTTGTGACTGTCCGCATGGTTGGACCACAGGCAAAATCACAGAGGAACTGCTTAACTGATGAAATTCTCTTCCACTCCTACTGCTTGGTAGGTAGGATTACAGCTGCAGCGCAGAGCATACATGGGGGAGAATCAAGATAACAAGAGGAACTATATAGTGCTTAAGGAAGGGAAACACAACAGAAATCTATGTCTAAAGAGGTTAAAACTTAGAAAATTACTTTGCATATTTAGTTCATAAGTCAATGATGTACAAAAGGCAAGTACTTTCATTGTTGGGAAATGTTCGCAAAGGCTACGCTCTGACTTTGTTGTTCTAGATACTAAACTGTGCATCCGAGCTGAAAGGTAAGTCTTTGCATTAAAAGGATGTTGCAAAACTGTTTTTTCTTTATTCTCCTCTCCACTTGAATCTTTAGGACTATAGATGATCTTAGGCAATCTGCGCAAAACAACCACATGGTCTAAATTTCTGTTTATTCTTCTGTCAGGCTACTCCTTTTAAACTGGAAGTGATCTTTATAGACCTTATCCATCGTGGTTTTTAACTAGATCTGTTGATTACTTTTTTTTTTTTCCTGAACCTGCAGAGGAAACTTAGGCTTAAATGTTGTGTGGGTCAGGTGTGTATCTTTGCTTCTTGTAAGAGGAGAGATTAGCCAACTGTAGGGAGTGGCATCGTGTAAGGACCTCTTTTGAAAGAAGGCAAAAAAGAGTTATGGATTGAGGTGTGGGTAGAGCATGTGGGAGGAGATATCTGATGTTGTCAAAGTATTATTTTAATACCCTACTTCTGGTGTAATTGTTATAAAATAGACAGGTACTAACCATTCCTTTGCATGTATGGTGTGCACGTTAATCAGTAACTATGTGCATTGTTGCTCATTTCTCTATTAATATAAATAAGGATAATGTTATAAAACACTTGCTAGAAAACTCGTATGTCTAAGTCATGCCTGGATTTATATATTAAGGAAAAATGTGCGGTGTTTGTTTGCTTTGAAGAACATGGAATTTTTGTTGTGTTGTTTTTAAACTACTATGTAGTACTGTTTTGGCTCAGACACACATACTGTTCTATATTGTAATGCCTAAGGAGAGTTAAGACTGAAAACAAACTGCAGGATAGACATGCCTTCACAAAAAGAATTGAGAAAACTTGTACATACCTTGTTTGAGGCTGTGATGCTTTTTTTTGTGCAGAGGGAAGGTTCAGTGAGTAGGAAGCATGCCTTTAGTATTAATGCCTAGAAAGTCAATACTCAGTATGTGGTGTGGATAAGCTAGGAGTGAGATTTGAATTAACATCAATAGGACTAGATGGAGGAGTTAGGTTTCAGCTTTGTGAGAGATGAACTTAAACACATGAAACTGTATTGGCTGGTCAACAGCAAATGCAGGTGTAAAATGTACTTTGCCCTGAATTACCTAATACGTTTTTTCAAAGTGGCTTTGGTGTTTGGGAAGCTAATTGTATGCAGTTTGTCCTCACTTTCTTTATCTTTTTTTTCCGCTCCAGGAGGACACGCTCCTTGCATGGACCATGCCCAGTGACCACCTTTGGACCAAAGGCCTGTATGCTGCAAAATCCTAAAACCATCATGTAAGTCAGTCATGTCAAATTAACAGTATTGTTATTCTGTGTGGGGGAAAAAATAGCAAATTGCTTTTCCACGACTTATCCTCCTAATCATCGCTTTTTGATATTCAGAGGTTTTTGTGCTGACTGATTGCTGGTATGGGGTTTATACTGCAGAAAATAGTCTGCCATTCGAATCGGGCCTTTTTTTTTTTTTGATATGATTTGATCTTTTGATAGATCCCATGGGAGGAAAATAAATGATAGCACTGCAAGTGGATTCTCAAGTAAAACCAAGTTAGATGTGTATCATCTTACTCTGCGGATTGAGAAGTATATTATAGTATAACAAATCTATAATACTGTATAGCATTATATACTATGAGAAGTATAATATAGTATAAGAAATATATAATAGTATAGTATATACTATGTATATAGAGACTGTGTTTATATATATAGTATAATAAATATATATCACACACGAGAGTTGTTTTTCAATGGTGGAAGAATGAAAGAACAGGATGTTTTTGTGGACATCATGAGGAGAAATTGCTCTGTGTACAGGGAAGTCCAAGAAGGCCTTTTCCTTTCTTGGTATAATGTGGTTTAATCTTGTATTTTGAAAATTTTCTCATCTGTGGTATTTTCTCTGTATGAATATCTAGGCAAGTTTGCTTTTTGTCTATGTTGCTGGTACATCATGTGTGAAATTAAGAATGTATGTGTGAAATTAAGAATGTCCATTATGTGTGGAATCTATTCAGCAGCTCTGTGAGCATTTTATTTTTATAGATTGAGTGGCATAAAGTATTACCTTTTATCACCATGTATTATATGCTTAGTAAACAGTGTCTTGATTTTGTCAAATAAGGAATTGATAGGGACTATAGGTATATAGAAACCACTAAGTTAATGTTCTTTTGAAAAGCTTGGTCTTATTGCTCTGATTTTCAGCTAAGATCCTCACCTAAATAATAGTAGTTATCTTCAAAACAATTTTGATGTGATGCTCGTCTTTCACAAGGCGTGGCAGAAATCTTGGAGATTTGGGGAATTCCTAACTTCCTCATGCTTTTCCTCTGTTCTTAGTTTAGTGCCTTGGTATACTGAGGTCCATCTGAAAATATAACTTGCACTGTACGTTGCCCCACCTGCCTGTGCTCCTCCCCATGGGCTGAGCCAGCTTTGCTGCAATATAAGGAGCAGTTCAAAAGCAGTTCAGTACAGAGGCTGTGGTAATACCAAGGACAAGCTACTTGCCAAGGAAAAGACAGCTAATACGGCATTCAGAATAGCTGGGGAAATAGGACATTCTCAGGTTGTAGAAAGAAAAGATTATTTGAAACTAAGCTGTAAGCTACTATTCGTGTTTCTTGTGACTTCTTGTTTCTTGTGGCTTTTAAAAACATGCTACTTTTTTTCTATTGCTTTTTTCTTGTTAGTCAGTAATAATGTTAAACTCTTTACTGGTGAGAATGTAACAGAAAATCCTACTTTGTGAATATGGACATCAGTTAATAATGGTCTTAAAATCTTACTTGTTTAGTGCTAATGGTGATGACTGCATTGAAAAAACACCATTTTGAATATTATGTAAAAGGATCAGAAGAACAGAATGACTGTTAAGTTAAAAAAATATTTATATTTTGAGGGAAGAGAAGTACTCAGTTACCTGTTTTTAAACTTTCTTGGAAGGGGCTTTTTTTTTTTCCCATGTGAAACGTTTTTGCCTCTGAAGTTCTGTATTTAGTAAGGATTTTTTTTCTGTGAATCCTCACAACCTGTTACTGAGACTGATCGAAATACTTCTCTGGAAAAGAGAAAAGATTTAGAAAGATTTAGAGAAAAGTGTTTTTTTGTGAGGTATCAGTTTAGTAAGAAGTGATATAAGCCTCAGTCTTTGGAGTTCTGTTGTACTTGCCTGCCAGACTTCTGGAAGAAAAACAAAAATGAAGATCTTGCAGCATGTTAGGAATAATTTCTCCTTTAGTAGAACAACATGGAATTGGTGAGTACAGTTGAAATAGATTGGTTTGAATAATTTTTGTGTTAGTTCTTGTATTTTTAAATGAAAAGCAGGGCTGCAGTCTTTATTTTATTGCTTGCTCCATCACAAAGTAGCCTGGTTATGGTGAAATGAGGGGGGGATGCTTCTGTATATGTATTTTCCTTTTTAATAGTATGGAGATCTGAGGAATTCAATTTTATTAAATGAACTTTAGTATAGAAAGTCATGTTTTTAGTCACCAGCTACATAAAAATGGCATATAAAACTTCTGTTCCTTTGCAGTTGTTTGACAACAATAAACATGTAAATGTTAAACATTACATTTTTTTAATTGCCTGTTTAGCTGCTGCTTGGCAAGTGAAGGCAAGAGAAGTCTTCCCATATGAACTGTAATTGGAGATCGTGGTGATATTTAAAACTAAATACTTTATCTTCAAAACAAAAAAACAACACCCTGATTTGACCAGTCCCTTCCAACATCAACTGTTACATGATTCTGTGATAGTAAAATCCAATGAAATTAAATTTGACATAATGTTAATAGCTTATACATGGTACTGAAAGTAGAAAAAAGCTACACGTTTATACTGCTGTGCATTATGTAATAATATTTAGAGAGAGTTGCAGCAGTTTGTGTTGGGTAAGGTGCTCATTACCATATAATTTCTGCTGTATTCGGTGTTCTCTATAGGCATTCTGCTTTTTTTCTTGACAGTAAAATGAGCAAGTTGTTGTGTCAGCCCCAGCAGCATCTGTTTTGTTCTAACCCTTGATGTGCTGACTCCAAATCTCTTTGTAATTTTGGCTTACACAGCATTTATACTAATCTGCTTTGCTTCATGGATTAGCTGCACCATTTGAAAAAGATGAGATGTTTATAATCTGTGAAATTATGTAGCTCAAAATTCAATGCAAACAAAATAGAAAAATGCCAGTAATGTTCCTAAATCAACCTAATGTATTATGGAGCAATGTGAAATTCTGTTACTGAATCCACTTTTGTCACTAGAAGGCTACAAAATTATTCCTACGCAAGTAGCTTAATTCTTGAGGTTCTCAACTCCTTAAAGGCAATCTGATAATGGAAGAACAGCGCAGTTTTGAAATTCTTTTTAAAGTTCAGCTTTGCTTAATTTCGGGAAGTAGTTAGTTGTTTTACTTTAAGCAGACAAATGTATGTTGGATTTAACACTAAGAGAAAATTAATGAATGTTTAGGATAGTGTTTTCAGGAAACGTTGCACAATACAGATATGTAAGTACAGGCAAGTGAAGTTTACCTAGTACTGAAATAGAATATTTCAGGTTTTAGTAAGCTTGTAATTTTGAGGCTTCTTGATAAGAAATGTTAAAGAGTTGCAGTGCAGATTTCCCAGAATAGACTTTAAATAGTAGCTTTTAAATAGCTTTTTCTGATTCCGTGATTGTTTCTCTTCATTCTGAGTCAGTTGAAGAGAGGGCAGTAAGATGAGAGGGAGATACTGGAAGCATCAGTTCAGATATCAATTGAAGAACTTGATCCCAGTGACTTTTGTAGTGCTTCTATTAAAGTTCCTGCTTGCAAATATTAGAATCATAGAATCATAGAATGCCGAAGGTTGGAAGGGACCTCAGAGGTCATCGAGTCCAACCCCCCTGCTCAYGCAGGGTCACCTAGAGCACGTGGCACAGGGCTGCATCCAAGCGGGTTTTAAAGATCTCCAAAGAAGGAGACTCCACAACCTCTCTGGGCAGCCTGTTCCAGTGCTTTGTCACCCTCACAGTGAAGAAATGCTTCCTTAAGTTCCTGTGGAACTTCCGATGCTTCAGTTTGAAGCCATTTCCTCTAGTCCTATCCCTGCTCACCACTGAAAAGAGGCCGCCCCCCTCCTCCTCACTGCCTCCCTTGAGGTATTTATACACGCTGATCAGGTCCCCCCTCAGCCTCCTCTTCTCCAGGCTGAACAGACCCAGCTCTCTCAGCCTTTGCTCATAGGGCAGATGTTCCAGGCCTCTGATCATCCTGGTAGCCCTGCGCTGGACTCTCTCCAGCAGCTCCACATCCCTCTTGTACTGGGGAGCCCAGAACTGGACACAGTACTCCAGATGTGGCCTCACCAGGGCTGAGTAGAGGGGGATGATCACTTCCCTCGACCTGCTGGAGACGCTTTTCTTAATGCACCCCAGGATCCCGTTGGCCTTCTTGGCCACCAGGGCACACTGCTGCCTATATTAATAGCATATTAGCAGTTGCGGGAATGGGCAACTTGGTGCAGTGTCGTGTCTTGATATGGTGAAACACTGATTGAATGCAAAGGAGAAAAAGCATCATAACAATTACAAGATATGGTGTCCTTTGTATTGTTTTGAGGATTGTGTGTGATTATAATTAAGCATGTTCTCTTACTGGACTAGAACGTTGTCAAAGCAAATCCTAAAGCTTCATGCTACTTTTTTTTTTTTTTTTTTTCTTTTTTTGTTCTATTCTCCAGGCACATACAGGACCCAGCAAGCCAGCGGTTGACATGGAACAAACCTCCCAAGAGTGTCCTTGTTATTAAAAAGATACGTGATGCTAGTCTGCTGCAGCCTTTTAAAGAGCTCTGCGTGTATCTCACTGAGGTAATGAAACACAATGCCTTTGTTTCTTCTTGTACAATAATTAAATATATATTTTATATATGTATTTCTAAACTATTCTCAGTCTTATTGATTCTGTTACAGGTGGAATGTGTGGAATTGTGTAGTGTAAAGAATCATTATACACTTTGCACCGAAAGCAATAAAACTTCGAGCAGTATTTGGAGAAAAAAAAGGAAGGCAAAATTGTTTCCTTCACTCTCTTTGTAGTTCACGGGATATTTTATCCTTTTAGCTATGAATAAGTATAGCAATGTTACAGTATCGTGTATTTATATTCCAAAGTTCTTTTTCATTTATTACATAGGCAGTACATGCTTCAAAATTCTCAATAAAATTAGACCACATCAGTAAAATATTAATCGTATGTTTTAAACTACTGAGATTGGTGGGGAAAATCAGGTATTTTCATCATGCTGAGAGGTTTTCAGTAACCTTATCTTGCCTCTTTTAAGGTGAATAACATGATAGTGTATGTAGAAAAAAAAGTTTTGGAAGACCCAGCCATAGCTAGTGACGATAATTTTGGACCAGTGAAGAAGAAATTTTGCACCTTCAGAGAAGGTATGGGAATGGTTTCTTGAAAGAAAAACTGAGATTTAGAGAAGATTTGTCTTAGCATTCCCAAATGTGTGTG